GTAGTAAATCAATTGTCATGATCTAAAGCCACTGCAAACCATATAGAGATTGATCACGATCCTGTATCGATTCATGATCCAAGATCGATCATCAAGTTATTTCAACTCTCCGATCATATATCGATTGATCAATGCATGGATATATGAGATCGGCGGCTTCTCAGCAGTAACGCTTATAAAAGCTGCGATGATTTGAGATCGACCATTAGGATCTACAATCAAAGCAACCATCAAAACAGTATTGACGGTCTTGTATCGATTGGTGATTCAAGATCATTAATAGTATAGGTGACTAAAATGCTGGAATAAACATTGGAGAGATTACTCTACACTTTCAAGATACCTTGTGTTCGCAGTTGTCATACCTGCACAGAAATGTTCCGCTCCACTCCACTTTCCATCTTTGTTACATCTTCTTACTATTGAACCGGTCACTTCAATTCCTTGCTTACAAGACAAGCTGCATTCTGTGTAAATGTCATATAAAATCCCTGCAGCACTTGTCTTACATCCCACGAGTACAGCATTGGTCGGTAACGGGCATGTGACAGCTAGAAAAGTTAAAGAAATTGTAGTTTCTGCGTCAGGCAACTTGTCTCGAAGCTGGGACCTCATGCACGAAAGTGATATACAGGCGATGTTTAATAGAAGAGTTCGCTCTGACCTTGGCCAATTGATTGGAAATCCCTTGTTTGGCATGATTTTCAAAGTAACACTAAAGACAATAAGTTATCTTAATTTTTTCTTCATTTATCGGGGAAACAAACCTGATGACTGCAAGGAGCTGTCGAATGCAACGAGTCCAAAATTTCCTCTGGGGTTGATCCCAAAACTCCTAAGAACTGATCCATTGGAGGGATCTACTTTATAACAATTTCCCCTACTCAAAGTAAAGAATAAATATGGGGAAATGAAGGCAACTCCCCAGAGGAGTAAATTACGCCGAGGTCTACAGACTACCCTTCTGTAATTTCCACTGTAATCAACGGATTCTATAGCACCGTTTCCGGAGTCCGCCCAGAAGACAAGTTTGTTTCGTCTGTCAAGAGTGATACCCTCAGGTAGAGAAAGTTTGGAAGCCACTAGAGCGACACACTGTGTTCCCTCTAAAGTTGATTTCATGACTTTTCTTGATCCCCAGTCAGTCCAAAACATCACTCTGTGGAGAAACAATGGCAAATGTAATTGCTAATGTCGGGTGAGTTTTCAACCTCAAGAATTACCTTGGAACTTGAATTAAAAATGTTTTCGATGTTAAGTAATAGATGACAGACGACAGATGACGTGAAAATGGGGAAAGGTGGGATCCACTTGAACCAGACTTCACTGTACTTTTCCTGCCCTGCATTCTTTGGCTGTGTGAAATGGGAAGTGCTCCTAAACTTGTTACCTCCACACCTCCTCGGGTTAAAAGTTTTATCTAATTCAGCTCTAAAGCTGTGACTTTGAGGCTTCAATTAAGTATCTAACCTATTTATTTAAAAAATAGGGGAGGAGTTAAAGGTGGAGGGGGGGGGGGTTGGATGGAAAACGCATAATTATGTTTGTCCCGCTTTTTAAATCTTAAGATACCAGGCAGCCCAATTGACACCCCCACTCAGCGCCACATACACATTTTTTACGGCTTCTTTCTCTTATGGATACTTACCCCTCGTGTGGGTCGAGAACGATTCCTGATGGGTAGTGTGTGTTTGAGCAATTGAAGACACGTCTGTTATTTCCTTGGAGATCCGTTACTGATATGCTGCGAGTCATTGCGTTTGTCCAATACAACTGCAATGAGTTCCACTCCACTGCTAGTCCATAACTGTAGACATTATTGTGGATCACAATGATGTTTGTGCCATCCATATTTGAGCGCTTGATGCTTCTCTCAAATCTATCGCTCCAAAATATGTAACCCAGCTCATAATGATAGTCCACAGCATCAACATGTGATAAATTAGTTATGACTGAAAAACTCGAGTTGTTATTGTAATCCNACACTCACCCGGACGATCAGACTACACCTTCACATGTTACCCCCGGGTTCAAACCATTTACTGCATTATATCAACACTCTTACTAGTTGAGTTGCCGAGCGCCAATAGAAGCACAGATGTGTCTTGAAGAGTCTCAAAAGACTCTCAGCGAAAACGTTATAATGGGAGAAAGATAGCATATTGCTACAATGTTTCCGCTCTTGAAAGTATATTGTGTATCAGAATACAGTATCGCGTTCATGTATTTTACTTTGTTTATTATCGCTGCCTAAGCAACATACGTTTCAAAAACAAAAATAAGACGGTGAGTGCCACAACGATATCTTTCATTTTACGCCCTCGTAGACTTTTATAGCCTCGTAGATGCCTTGCAGCATACATTCCTAGCATTAATCTAAATTGTCGCTTTAAAAGTCTTAGGAAAGAACGCATGGAAAAATGTCCTGTCTGTTTACAGCCTGTCTATTCCTTTTTCTTTTTTGCCGAGCCGTAAGTTTAGAAGCATTCATCATTTTGAGTTCGTTCCACGATCTGGCAGTGAGTTCGAGTATGAATCAGTTGCCTTAAGCTTCTTCATTAAACAAGTGTTACTAGGCTACCTTGTAAGATTATCAGCAATTGTCTCTGGTATCAATGACGCGAAACTTCGGTGATGTTAACTCATCCGAAAGTTATGACGCTATCATAAAATAGACAGATATTTTTCTCGAAAAGAGGATATAGAGCAATAATTATACTTACTTGAAGAAGCGGACGCTTGGTGAAAACAGGCGAGACTTACAATGAAGATTATGCAAAGAAGAATCAAAACCGTTCCTTGCCCTTTCATAGCTGTGTTAATTCTGATATGCCTCCAATACCACAACTGGATGAAGTCTGCTTCTTCAAGCAAGTGAAGCCTGATTTTAATCCCCGGATATAAGCTCAAGTAAGGGAGAGACGGGGGGGAGGTTAGTTATTCTCGACGTTTGAACGGTGTGACTGGTTTATCATGCTCTCTTCTTAACACATTTGACTTCATCCCTGATCTCATACCAAACAGACGCGGGGTCACATTGAAGCTACTTGGTATGTGTTATAAGTTGTTATTTTAAAGTTAGTCATCTAACACGAAATAAAATCAGGAATGAGAGAGAAGGAATAACGTTTCATTAAGGTTATAGACATGTTTTTAATAGAGTCCTCAATAAGAAACTAGGGCTTTGAAGGAAAGAAAATCCATTTCAGAGACGAAAAGATCTAATTTCTTGGTTCATGTGGTATGTTCTGGCAAGCCTATTGTGCGCAACCCGTAGTTTTCATCGCTGCTTGAAGAATAAATAACTGGCTTTACATTGATGTCACATTAATGAAATATTTTCGAAACATTGAAACAGAACGGAAGCTCGGAGGGGCTTTTTTTGACCCCCCTGACCTCCTCGAATAGCGAAGGGGATGTCAGGTTGTTTTTAGCTTGTATCCGAGGGGTTAATTGATATGAGCCGCCACCGTTAGGGCGAGAGATATCATATTGATTCAATGTTTACAATCTTGAAATTATCTTTTGTTTCTGAATATTTAACAATTATTCCACGAGCGCGCGTTGGATATGAGATGATAGATAGCCAACGAGGCGCGTAGCGCTAAGTTGGCTATAATCATCTCATATCCAACAAGCGCGAGTGGAATAATTGTTTTATTAAAAAAAAGACGCCCCCAAGATATTAGACAAATCTTCTCGACTTTATTTTGTAAGAAGAAACCGGATATTACAATGTACAGATATAAGATTATTTATTAGCCAATTTCTGGATATCGCTACTCAGGCAATATACTTTTCATGTTTCTATCATTTCAAAACAAGTGACTGTCTTAATAAAG